TTAGCAGGAACTCATCAGATCTCAGTTAAAGGTTAATCTCAGTTCAGGCGAAGCAGGTTGAGGTTTTCAGTCAAAGACTACAAAGCCTTAGTGGCAAATTGGAGATACTAGATAATGATCAGTGGACATAACACTTTCCTACCCAAGAAATGCCAGTGATTGGAAAGTGTAGCAAAATCAAGTTGGTGACCTGGAAACCTAGATAGGATTAAGAAATGCCACATTCGTAGGGGGTCCTAGAGGTAGAAAGACAAAAAGAAATAGTTTCTTTTTCCCCCTTCCTTCCAGCAGATTACAGAGGTGTGGAGGTTGATAACTTTGAGCTGTCCTCCTCCTGTGTTGCTGAAGATTCCATTTCTGCAAATGTCCATGTCCCCCCTCAGCAGCCCCCAGAAATATGCAGCTCAGTGGACCAGTACCAAAACCATGAAAATTTGTTTCTGATGTGCTTTAGTCCAACTTTTATGGGTCAAAGGAGGTTTTTAAGAGCACACATTTCTTCTTTATTGGTGGTCTTTGGCACCCAGAGACACACATGCCTGCTGTAAGGAGCTGGTATGTAGTAAGGAAGAATACCACTTATCCCAACAGGCAGATGTTCTTTGAAGAATGATTTTGTTAACTGTCCCTTCTGAAGGTGGATGCAGGTGGTTGAATTTAAAGGTAAAGTTGATTTGAAATGTTTGGCTACATATAAAGGCCTTTATCTGTTCTAATGTGGAATTTGATTTGCCTCTTTAAAAAGTACATTCAGACATTAACAGAATTTTTACAAAAATCTGTCTTGAACAAATTTGCCAGGCAAAAAAAAAGGATTATTTCATTTGATGGTGTAATGATTAATCCTACCACCTGGGTAAGCCGAGTGAGCTTCCCACAGGAGATTTGCTTCTGCAGCTTTGAATTATGTATGAATATTGCAGACTGATGAGATAGAACCTGCCAAGGGATTTGTTTATATAACAAATCTGTAACAATGTTACTGTTTCCTTTGAACACTTACATTTATTCTGCATGTTCAGAAAATGAGTTGTTTTTGTGGAGTTTATGACACGGTTTTTAAGTGTCAGGTCAGACACCCCAAATTGCGATTAAGAAGTGGTCACTAATGAAAAGTTGGTGGAAGAGTTTAAAGTCATTCGTGGGGCTTAGTTTCAGGACGCCTTTGAATACCAAAATTCCCCTTTATAAAATGGTATCATATTTATTTATACCCTACAGCCATCCTTTTGTAGATTTTAAATCTTCTCTAGACTATTTATAATAACCAAATAAAATGTAAGTGCTATGTAAATCATGTTTTACTGTTTTGTTCAAGGAATGACGGGAAAGTCCATAAATGTTCAATAGAGACTCAATTTTTTTCCCCCCCGCTGAATGTCTTCAAACTATTAGTGGTTAAATCCAAGGGTGCAGAACACAAGGATATAGAAGGCTGACTGTATAATCAAACATGTTGTCTTCTGTTATGAAAGCAGAATAATAACTGAGGGTCCAGGACAGAATAGGATAAGTCAAGGTTTGACCCAACCTGAACACGTTAGTTACTATTGCATTTTTACCTTGCATTGCAGGACAAGAGATTATTTCAACAATGAAATTAAGCAGCAGAAATATAAAAGCCACAGTTTCCTTTTGGGGGCCATTTATCATATAACTTTTCCGTTTAATAGTAATAAATATCAAATTTATCTATGGGAGTATCTAGCTGCCTTGGACACTATTTTACTATTTCAAAATCTGTAAGAAAGTTTCAGATTTCTTCTAATTATCATTTTAAAGAAATTTTTTATCACAAATGGAGTGGGGAAATTTTTAAGTTTCTCTATTGTCTCCTTCCTAATGAGTCAAGTTTGTTCAGAAGAATAAAGTAATAGGGAAATAAAAACCATTTTTATCGTTTCCCAGTTTTAGTCCAGTACCAAAGCCCAATTTTAGTGTTTCCCCATTTTTTATGCTTTCCCCATTACATTAAGCATTTCCCAATGAAATGTAGGTTGGTAGTAAAATGTTTTGTTAGGAGATAAAGATGGTGTTTGTAAATTGCTATTTTAGTGTTTGGGAGGATTTTCTGATTTTATGTCGAAGTAGGAAACAAAATCAATCCTCCAAAATTAAATTTCCTAATAAAATTAATAGTCCTAATGATAAATTGATAGTAAGATTTTACTTTCTTCTTTCTTCCTGGATGATTTTTCTGTTTGTGTTGTTTATACCTAAGGACCAAGTCAACCCTCCCTAATGCAATTCTCAATTGTTTTTCATTTTTAAACTTAGCACGTTACTATACCTAAGTGTGAACTCTGAGAACCTTTCTCTCTACCCCTCTGTCTTTTTTACTATTTTAATCATACAAAGGGCTGTTCTACCCTCAAGCATTTAGACATGACACATCACCAATGCATTTTTAAAAATTCATACTCCTTTTAGACACTGCTGTCACCTTAAATGCAGATTAACCTCTTAACATCCCTGTACAAATCCCTGTGATTTTACTTTCAGGTACTCTTTCTGCATAGTTTTAGTAGTTGACAAATATTGTAATTGGTGACCTGATGTACCAGTGCATTCACTTAGAATGTGTGTATGGAAACTAGTCTTTATCTAGAATGTAAGCTGTGCTACCTTGGTCCTCAAAGAGTTAATAAAACTAGCTTTCCCTTTGCTTAGCTCCCCAAAGGTAATTTGGCACATTTCCCAGACCAAACCCCTAAGGTAAAGGTCAAGGTGCAGTGGATGTTATTAAGGTGCAGAATTCAAGCCTCTTCTCATAGCTTGTCTAGCTTGTCCACTTTCCAGTGGACTCTGGTTCATCAGAGTTTCAGAACATGATTAGCAGACTCAAGGAGACCCTGTGAAAATTTCCTTTAATGGGGAATTGCGTGAGTGAATACAGTGGGTGAGTTTTTGCTCTTTCTTGTTTTTTAGCATCTATGCTTTGTTTCATGGTCTTTTCAGAGTGTAGAGTTATGTTGCAAGTATGTGGAGCAGGCCCAGGGACTTCCTCATAGGTTAATAGCAGTTTTTTTAGAGGCTTTCACAATTGCTGAACTTTACTGTGAATAGCCCAGGCCTGGCAGGAAAACAGGTGAGGATGGAGGCCCAGAATCCTTCACCAACCCTTGTCGACAAATGGAAAGGAGAGCTTTTGCTTGGAAATAACCAAGAGGTTGGGAAAATAAAGGAAATGGGCAGGTTATAGCAATTAGGAGTCCCAAAACAGTTTTTTAGGAAACCTCTGTAGGTGACTCCAAAAGTAGAAGAGAGTGTCTGGAGCTTTAACATTTTGCCTTTTAAGGGAGGGCTGGTATTTTTGAATTACTTTATGTTTTATCACTTTGAAATTAGAAGTGGTTTATATTAACTTTCGCCCAACAAAAAACATTTTCAATTTCCTAAAGCAGCTTTGTAACTACAAAGTGATATAGTCTTGACACTGTGTGGTTCCTGCGTGTTTTGGAAGTGTCACTTTCTTTGCCTTTACTGATGCATGAAAGTAGATCCCCCTTATTACCTTGATTTTTATGATGTCTCCTATGATGAGAAACTAGCTCTGTGCGGAGCCTTTCTTCTGTGTCAATGAGGCAGCCCACTGAGAAGCAGCCCCATGCTTCACTGTGCACGGTCTCCTTCATACAGACTGCCCGGCTGACTGCTAGTGGAGCAGTTTCTTCCCATCTCCCCCCTGTCCCCAAGAACTGGATCCCGTAGTGGAACTTCCAGTTCATCACACACTGCTGGTATAGAGACACCAGTGGCTCTTCTAGTTTTGAAATTGTATATCCAGTGGATTTCTAGGCTTATTTTTCTATCCAGACACAGGCACAATTTTCATAATGAAAGATTGAGAAAGGACGCCTTTTCTTTCAGATCTCCTCCTTCGAATCTGCGTGCAACATATGTTATGGTGATACATGGTCAAACAAAGTACTTCTTTTAAAGAAACTTACAAATGTCGCCATGACTTACTGCCAATCGAAAATCCAGAAATAACGTGTAATCGTATGTTTCCTTTCCTTCTCTTTACTTCTAAAGAAAATGGGAAAAAGAGCTGATACATGTGTAAGAGCCTAGGAATACTTTTCAGGAATCCAGAATCTTTAAAAATGACTGACCACCCCATTGATCTTTTTCTAACTGGGGTGGTTTCCTGTACTAGCATTTAATAACCATTAGATCCCTCTCTCTATATCATAGTGACAGAATCAGCGCAGTTGCTGCAGATTGGAGAATGCAGAGAACGAGAAGAGGTAGCTGCTCACAGAGTAGCAGAGAACAATAAAACCAGCTTGGCCATTCACTGATTTGTGGCCAGAATGATGGTACAGATGCATTTTAACAGATTAAGCAGAATGCAGAACTTTCTCTCCTATTTGCTGCATGTGTATAGACAAAGGTTAATGATCTGTTCTCCTGGCAGTAAAATCATCCCAGCCTCAGTGTACCTGCCAAAACAGTTCTTTAATTTCATTATCTAAATAATCTAATTTTAACTTTATTCCTGGTCCTTTAAGTAATTTGGCAAATACTTTGGTGTGTAGTAAATATTACATATTAAAGAAATACCATGTAGTAATGTATTATTTACTGTAGTATTAGAGCATTATCATCTAGTATAATAAACATAGTATAGTAAATGTGCCAGGTGCTTTACTAAATATTGAGTATATTTGTCTTTAACCAGTTAAGCATGCAGCACGCTCTGCTTCATCATTGTCACCTCCTAAGAAAACAATTGCTCCACTCCTTGCCTGTTGTTCCCATGTTCCCTTTAACCTACCATACCTCCACTGCCAAACTGAGTACATATATGTGAATCAAGGAAAATGAAGTCTCATCCTAGTGTGAGTATTCCTTGTACATGGAAATAACAAGTGTGTTGGGGCTTGCGAACCATTGTTGTAACAGGACCAGGTAACCTTTTTAGAAAGTATATCTCTTGCAGAATTTTAGCAGATCTTTTGAAAACCAGTGTGACAGACTGTTTTGATTTGTTACAGTCATGTGACCCATGAATTGGTGGAGAAGTTTTCTCCTCGGGATCCAAGACCTCTTGCAAAGCAAGATGATGGGGGCTGCACCTCTATATCACCAGCACTGCCACCACCTGACTCGGAAAAAGAAGAGGAAAAAGAAGATATGTCAGAGCCTATGGACCCAAACCCCTGTAGTGCAACATATAGCAATTTAGGTGAGTACAGATGTCATATAAGTGGTCCTTAAATTTTGCCTTTTCATGCACTAGGCAAAAGTTCTGTTTTCCTTGTCCCCATGGGACAAAATTTGGACCATTGAAGTTATAAAATTTAACTCACACCAGAAGAAAGCCTTAGTGTTTTCTAGGCATGTATTAAACACCTGCTACCATGAGCTGTGCCCTGTGCCAGAGATACTGATATGGTCCCTGCCTTGAAGGACTTGCAGAGAGAAGTGAACTTGTCAGTAAATTCAGTATAATTTGATAAATGCAACCACAGCGATACACATGGAATATTTTTTGTATTATGCAGAGGAAGATGTCAAAAGATGCTTTTCTGGAGATAATTCCTGAACTGATTTAACTGGTTGACAAGAGGAAGGGAAGAATATTCCAACCAGAGGCCAGAGCAAGATTGTGGAGATGCAGAATAGCTTAGTGTGTGTGAATCCCACATTTAGAGCTGCTGAAATGAGTGGTGGGGAGTTTGATAGTATCATGCATGTCAGGCTAAAACCTTAGACTTCCTACTGTTTGTGCTAGTGAGCCATCAAAGGGTTGAAGCAGAGAAATAACAAAATTAGATTTGTGTTTTAAAACATCTCTCCAGGTGGCTCTATGAAGATGTATTACAGTAGTAGTTGATAGCAGGAAGTCTGGTAGTGCTATGCTGTTGCAGGACCACAAAAAGGATAAGAAAAGGAGGCCTTAAATAACATAGTGGGAGGAAAAATGGTGGTATATTTAAGGGAATTATACTTAGGACTGGAAGATGTGCAGGATCTATGATGGACCCCAGATTTCTGGCTTGGATCAAGCAGACTGAAGGAAGTAAGATCTCTCCACTGGAAGCACTTCGGCAGGGGCTGCTGGGCCATCACTCAGAGATGCTGGGAGGGAGAGTGTAGCACTGCAAAGGGGGTTTGGGTTGATTTCCCCAGAGTTCCCACCAATCCAAAGATACCTTAGTTCTTTGAGTGTCTTCACTCTTCTTCCTTGAATGCCCAGTGATTTCTAATCTTTCCCTCCTTTGAGGGTCACAGTTTCCATTCTGAAAAGCAAAGCCCAGGGCAGGCTAAGTTTTTCTTGGCACTGTTCCATGAAGTCAAGAAACTCAGTTGCAACAACCCATCTTCATAAAGAAAAGACTTCTTTCTGAGTTTCAGAAGCCTTGTATTATTCAGGAGCAGAGAAATTTATAATTTAGCCAGGCATGGAGGCACATGCCTATAGTCCCAGCACTTGGGAGGCTGAGGCAGGAGGATCGCTGTGAGTTCAAGGTCAACCTGCCTCAAAAAGACAAAAATAATAAAGAAAAAAAATGAAGAAATTTACAGTTTACCCAAGCAACCCTCTGGATACCACTTTCTAGTTTGAATACATTTTACAGTCACACAGCTTATGAAACTTTCCCCATTCTTTTGTATTTTATGAAGCACATTACTAGATTAAAAAAGGTTTACTTCTATGCCTTTCAGTAACCTAGTGTATCAGGAATATATTCTAGCTATTCTTACTATGTCAATATTCCTTTCATGATATCTAGGTAAAATATATAAAAATTTTTACCAATTGTACAACATCTCATGGCAGCTCATTCAAAACTCTTCCATCAGCCAATATTAAAGATAATTATTTTACTTTCCTGATTTCTCAGTTACAAAGATTGGTAGAAAAACAGAGCTTTCCCCCATGAATATTCTGTGAGTTGCATGTTAGCTCATTTAATCATCACACCATCTTACAAATTATTATCCTCATTTTTTTAGATGAGAAATGTGAGCAAAGAGCCTTGCCCAAAATCTTGGAGCTAGTAACGGGTAACCCAAGATTGGAACCCAGTTGGTTATGGTTACTATAGTGCTTTTTCTTTTTTAAAAAATAAAAAATAGGAGTTTTATCAAGTTCTTTAAATTCCTATTTCATGTTTTTTTAATAGAAGTTTTTAATCAACCATTCATAATCATAATTCTTAATCACTAAACTGTTTTGAAGTACTAAAAAGGTGTGAATCCTTTAAGTCATCTTTCAGACACAAAATTGAATTTTTTTTAAAAAAATTATGGTTAGAGTGTAAAAATACAAGGTTACAGATGCCCTATCAGAAAGACTGCTTTCTTTCTACCTATTTCTTTACTTTTTAAAGTGTGTGATACCCATAATATGTTGTCCAGTCATCTTTAAGTGCTTAGGTGGCTATGATCTTGATCCTACAAAGCTTGATACATGGTTACTTGCTCCTTTGGAGAAGTAATAGCAATTACATTAGTTCTACAAACTAAGGTTTTGGGGGATGGGCTTTTTAAATTTTTTTTGTTATTTTTTCCTAATGGAACAAATATTTTAGGTATCATTTGAAACTATCCTTTTTTTAAAATAACTTCCATAAATAATTCACATGCAGCTTTACACTACTCCTTTGAGTAATGATTTTTATGATTTAAAGCTTTGGTAACCAAAAAAAAAAAAAAAGGTGTATTTAGTGTGTTTAAAGCAGAACCTCTTAATACAATAGCTTTAGATCTTTTTATACAGTCTGGAATCGTTCCATAAAAATCACTTTGTTTTTTTTTCTTCCTTTGTTCTTTAATAAGGCAGAGGATGGGAAGACAGATATGGAAGAGACTAAAACTGGTTTATTTCTGAAAATTACACTGGAAACTGGACTTAGGATGCAGTGCAACACAGCAAGAAAAAGGCTGGGTGAGGGGTCTGGAGAGTTGGGTTCCTGTCACAGCTGTCTCCCTATCCACCTGCATGATCGCAGATTGGCTTTAAAAAGCCCTGAACTCTTCCTTCATCTGAAAGGAGGAGACAGCAGCTTATGCTTTGTAGCACTGGCGGTGGAGGAAGTAAAGTGATACCTCAGTTTACAAACACTTTTGTTTGCAGTTTGGTTCTCAAACAGGGCTGAGCGTGGTGGTATACACCTATAGTCCCAGCATTTGGGAGGCTGAGGCAGGAGGGTCACCATGAGTTTGAGGCAGTCTGGGCTACAAAGTGAGTTCAAGGCTAGCATGAACTATATAGCAAGACACTGTCTCAAAACAAACAAGCAAAAAAAACATTTGGCAAAATTTTGTTTTTGTTTGCAAACTTTGCATTGGGTGACAGACACTACCACAGCCATCTTTCCTACACACCAATGTGGCCATCTTTTCCAAAATCATAGAACAAATTAAATTTGTGAGCTGAGGTACCACTGTACTTTGTATGTAGAAGAGCTTAGTAACTGTGAAACTTCTTTATTTCTCCCCCCAAAATATACCTTTCTTTCCCCTTTAAATATGTTGGACTTGATAACTAGAAAGCATGAAAAGGACAAAAAATATTTATTATATAGTGTTGAATAAGCAGAACAACAAAATATAAATCCAAAAAACTGTAGGCTGCCTATACAACCAATGACTGAAGGTGTGAACCATGAAACAGGCTATAGCACCCCAAAGTGGCTACCCAGGACCAGATAGCATCAATGTCCAGGTGCGGTCCCTCAGATCTGTCGTCATAGCAGCATAGAGGGGCATGGTTTGGATCTATCTCTCTAGCTTCCACATTTCTTATATAGTTCTAAAAAACTAATTTTAGACCAACAAAAATTACTCTAGCTGAAATAGGCCTTCAGCACCCTCTTTGAGAGCTTCCGGTTGGATCTTTAGGCAACCTCTTCCCCCCAGGGTGAGGAAGCAAGAGCTGTGGTGCAGCCACGCCCATTGAGGGCAGCTGCACCCTTGCCTTTAGAGGTCGTGCTCCAGGGATCATCACATGTCATTTCTCTTGTCCTCAACATAAATAAACCAAACTTTGTTTTGTTCATAATTGAATTATTAGATTTCAGAGCTGCACTATCCTATATAATATATACCAGCCACATCTGACTGTAAATTTATTAAATTATAAATAAGACTTCATTTCCTTAGGCTCACAACATTTCAGGTACCCAGCAGAGCTACATGTGGCTGGTTACTGCTGTACTGGGCCGTGCTGCTGTAGGATATTTCGCGTCCCCGAAGTTCTGTTGGGCACCACTGCTTTAGAGAACTGTATCGTCCTCTGAATTGCACAAAAGTCATATTGGTCTTCAGGCAGCTTGGCAACTCCCTTTGAAGGTCACCCCTTACAGAGTGATGCATGACTTTTCTCTGAGTGATGGTCACAGGAGATCGCAAAACGAACTCTGACTTATAATACTTTAATCCTCCCCACACTGGATTTTAGAAGCTGTCACCTACTGTGATTTCCCTAAAAAGCAATAGGTTGTTTTTTATTATCAAACCTTCAACATTTCCCCACATTTCTCCTATCTAGTGAGATATCTAGATGTCTTCTAGATGTCACTTTGTCTTCTCAAAGTGTGTAGAAGAAAGATTAGTGGTTGTGTTTTATGTGACACACCTTGCTACTTCATCAGCCTGCTAAAATCAGGAACATGTAATGAATCTACTCTGCTGGAAATAAGTTGGTGATGTTAGCTCTCCTCCGTTCGTTTTGTAACCAAGTGTTCTATACATTGCTTTTTTAAAAAGATCTATCAAGTCTCCCTTTACTTGACAGATTTTTGGCTTACTTCTCTTTCTGTATCCCTACAACTTAGCACATTATCTAAAACACACGGGAGGTGCTAAGAATCCGTTTGAATGAATTAGCTAAAAATGACTGTTGTAGTTGACTCTTGAAGATTGCCAAATGAGTGAAATCTGCTCTGTTCAAGAAAGTTCAAATTGCAGTTTATGTGCACCATTAATCAGCTGGCTTGCCCCCCCCCAATATGGGATTTTATCTATAACTTTTCTAATTAAGCGATTATCTAAACCTGCCCTCTATTTCTTTATATGTCCCACAAGAAACTGTATGTTTCTCATTTTTCTTACTTTGACCATGTCCTTAACACTATACTCTTCAAACAATGAAAGCAAAAACTTAAAAGTGTCCTGTCCCCAGAAGTTCCTTCAGCAGTGTATTGATTTTCATTGTTAAATTTTTAAGGGGTGGAG